CGTCATTTGGAACAGCGCAAAAATCTTACAAAGAAAAACTAAAAATCGTTATTATTTAACAAAAATAAAAAAAAAGAAAATATAAGACACAAAATGAAAAAAGGTGAGGTTCGGTAGCGAAAGTAGCATAATTTGCGGTTTCCATTCATTGATGTCATTATGTTATTTTACACTGCAATATGAACCACTTGCTCGTTAAAAAAATTTTATTGAAATTTAAATTGCAAATTGGAATTACCTCTTTGAATTAATAACACAAAAAAAACGATTGCCATTATGTGAGTAAATAAGCAAATGACTTGAGGACTCAGAAAAAAGTTGGAACAAAACTTGAGATGCTTTATTTCTAAATACTGGTATCAGTAAGCCACAATTCGATCGATTTTACTCTTTTTGCTGGCAAGTAGTCAAGGTAGAGTAAATAACAGAAAAAGGACCATAAAAGTCAAAGGGTAAATAAATTGAACCGTCGACTTTAGGCAGTTTTAATTAATCTTATTACATTGTCAGTGTGTTTTGATTTATCTTTAAATAAGAGTTTATTTTACTCGCAAGTGAACCCTGAACTTTTTAAAAGACGTGATAAAAGAAAAATACATGCAAAATGTAATGAAAATAAAAAGCCAAATAACTGAAGGAAAAAGGGTCAATCAATTTTTATTTACATTTTCGCGGTCAAATGCATTTCGAGCTTGAAATGTGCCATAAAAGTGCAATTAAAAAATTTTTTTTATTTTTCTTAACTTTAATTAAACTTTTTTCGTAATGTTAATAATAACAACAAGTTATTTATATTGCAATAAAATATAATTTATTTTTTTAAATTAAATTTTTATTACCTCTATGTGTCGAGGAAAACTTTGTAAATGTTTTGTATTGGCAATTAGCCAATTATTTTTTATTTTATGCAAGCAAAAGAATATATTTCTCTTTAAATAAGATCTCAATGAGGTGAATAAACTAAATAACTCACGTGCATTTCTCAAAACTGCATTAGGTGTGAGTATCTGCTGGCAATTAAATTATCTAAATAAATTTTCTTTAATTCTCACACTTGCAGATTCACATGGCGTATACGTAACATTAATAAATTAACGGAAAAATCAACAAGAAAAACCACATGAGACATGAGACAGGCACCATCTGATAAAATTCACATCAGAACCGGTGCTGGAGAAACGTTCAGCAATAAATGCATTTCAATTGTGATTATCGTGACCATGACCTAAGCCATGACTAATGCCTATGTATTAAAATTTCGAAGTGACTTTTTATTATGTATTGTACTTTATATTATTATTATATAACAAATGGTCTTTAAACAGAAAATTCCATTTTGAATATTTTATCTGCGACAAAACAATCTTTATGGAAAGCATTCCAGATAAGAAAATTAAATGGTTTATTTTTTATTTGACTTTAGCATTTTTATTTTTATTCAATTTTTTTTTAATTCTTATTAATTTCTTATTAATGATTATTTTTATTAATTTGTTGTATTTGTAAATAAAACATTTAAGTGCAAACTTAATTTGATTAATGATCAAAGTGTCAGGAAAATTAGTTCATTTATCAATTAAAAGCAGAAAGATTGTGACTATCATGACCGTCACTCATACAAAATGTTTGTTTACGTAAAACAAACGAGGATATATGAACTGCTGAGTGACTTAATTAATTCGTATTAAGAAATTAAACAACAATATTATATGGATTATTTTTTTGTTTTTTTTTGCACTCAGTCACTAAATAACAATTAACAAAGGAAAACAAAGCATTATAACTCAATTTTATTAATTAAGGACAGAAAAGAGAACAGCATGAAAATATTTGTAAAAACAAAGTTAAAAGAATTTAACTGAAAACTGAGCTTGATTTAAAAAAAGTAAGTAACAGAATATGGCATAAGTAAAGTGTGTTTACACTTTAACAATTAACGAACCTCAATTAGTAATAAGTGCACAATTAAAATTAAGTGTTTATACTAAAACTATTCAATTAGCGAAACAAAACAAAAAATTAAAAGGAATACGATTACCACCTTTTATAATTAAAAGCGGAAACCAATAGTAGACAGTTTTCCAATTACCTGGTTTACTCCAATGCAAAAATTACTCACATTGACGAGTACGAATACCTTCGTGAAATTAAGTGTTTATACTAAAACTATTCAATTAGCGAAACAGAACAAAAAATTAAGAGAAATATAATTAAATATAATATAATTATAATTATAATATAATTATATTATAATTTATAATTAAAAGTGGAAACCAACAGTAAATAGTTTTCCAATTACCTGGTTTACTCCAATGCAAAAATTACTCGCATTGACGAGTGCAAATACCTTCGTAAAATTAAGTGTTTATATTAAAACTATTCAATTAGCGAAACAGAACAAAAAATTAAGAGAAATATAATTAAATGTAATATAATTATAATTATAATATAATTTTAATATAATTATATTATAATTTATAATTAAAAGCGGAAACTAACAGTAAACAGTTATCCAATTACCTAGTTTACTCCAATGCAAAAATTACTCGCATTGACGAGCACGAATACGTTATTTTGCACGACGGTACCTTTTCGGATACATGATCTTTTTTCTGACACCCATCGCACTGAAACCTTTACTCTAAATTTGATTCAACTATGAAAGATCGACCTTTCAATACATCTCACTCTACTTCTATAGAAGTCTGTTCATTCCTTCCATTATCAAACACATATGCTTTACAACCGCAGTTTTATCAAGATAACGGTCACAAAGCCGTTACTGAACAACTTTCTTAGAATCCACACAGTTACTCCACTTCCTTCACTACTCTGTATTGTTCACATAAATTGTTTTATCTCAAACTATCAAGAAGCGACATCACAGTTCAGTGAATTAAAATATTATACACGTAGAGCAGGCTTTATTATTATTACAAGGGACAAGATAAAATGCAAGCTCTAGGATCGAAACCTCAAACAACTCTCCTAAGTATCCCTGATGATTAACATCAGCGCGCTACTCATGGAACGACATCTGCACGGCTGTTCTAAATAGAATACGGTTCAGAGGAATTGTTGAGGCCCTATACTCCACTGGGAGTTAACTGAACAAAGAAGAAGGATCCCAGCACAAAAAAGTTTTTGACAATGTCTTTTGGTGACTGATCTCAACCTCATTTAGTTCAAGGAAAATCGAATGGGAGATTAGTTTTCGTTAACTAATTTTTGATCTGGGAGATTTAAGCCAGAGTTTCTCAAAGGCACAATTAACACTCGTACGATACTATATTTTCGCCTTTAGCGATATTATTTTTTGGGAGCGTAGTAATCGTATTAAAACACATTGAATTTTTTTTCTGGTATTTTACTAAACATTTTATAATTTTGCGTATCTATATTGTAGTAATTCGTGATGTTTAATGTTTTGGATGAATTTTTTAATTTTTTGAAAAAATAATGTCATTACGAAGGATCGAAAGATTCTTTATGTGCTTAGAAGGAAACAACTCACACCATTTGCATTATTTTATAAAGTTATGGGCTGAGTAGTATTTAGTGGAAAATGCATAGTAACGAAAGATAAGACATGTACTTTTTGAGGATCTTGATCAATTACAAGACCTGACACTAAATAGCATTTTAGACTACGCCAAAGGTTTTAGGTGGTTTTAAACCCTAAATCCCACATATGCGATAACACAATGGACCAATAAGACTAAATGGATCCACCAGTGATCGCCAGTATGACCTAACCTAACCTAAAGGAAAGGAAACTTTTAAATACCCTTTTCACTATTTAATTAGTTATTAACAGTGGAGTATTTAGGATAGATTTAGGAAATACATCGCTTCCCTTGAGAATATTGTATTATCTAGTATATTTTGAACAGTTTTGAAGGAAGAATTAGCGAGTATGGTGATTCACATTTTTTAATTTTATTTCGATAATTACCAATGTAGGTGCAAAAAACAAAAAAAAGAGTCAAATTTCCGAAATCAAAATCCGTGGTTCTATTTTCAGAGCGTTGAATGATTGACAACCAACAGTTCTATGTTAATTACTGGATGTTCTAATTTATGAGTGTCCACGGTCTTATATTCTTTTCGTTATATTTTATTATAATTAAAATAAATAGTAAATATGTAGCTGTGTGCGCATGTATTTCTTTTTTAATATAAATATATATAATTAATAATTAATATAAATATTGTAAATAACATAAATTTACTATAATTATGTTGAGGCTAGTTGAGTCAGTGCACTTGAGCACTTTTACTCTTTATTAACTGCAATGTTTCTTTATAATCCCTCTCTACTACTTGACTGGATTATTGTTTATCACTTCATCAGATTAAGCAATAATTGACCTCAGATCTGCTTCCCGAGGAGCCTGTCACCGTTTTGCGTTTCGATAATGCGGTGTTTACATACACTATACTATAATCAAAGTGAAATCAGAGAAATGACATTATCTATAAATAAGTGTACTTAAACTAGACTTAGACGAAAAAATCGTAAAATCAGACAAGTAGGATTCCTGCCATTCATTTGTGTAAAATAATTTTTTTCTCTAACAAAATCGTTTTTTATTTAAGTTTGGCTAACGCTGGTGTGCCTAGGAGGCATAGAAAATGGAATAGTGTGAAATATTCACACTGAATAATTAAATATTGTGGTTTTTTGTATGGATTCCTTTGGTTAAGCACGCAAATTTATAGGGAGGATATGGTCACTTCTTCCATTGAATGGGTAGGTGTGTTGTTTGATTTTTATTGTAAATAAAACTATTAATTGATGTTGTTGTAATCGTTATGTTAACAAGTTTTAATGCAATTGTTTTGAATTTGTTTATATTTGTGCTTTATAAAGCAAAAATAAAAGAATAATAAAATGAACTTAATTATTAAGCAAATTAATCATATAACCACGCATTTAAAACAAAATTTGTTGACAACACACAAAAATACACGTAAAGCAATGAAGCACTTGGACTTACCACCAGCTTGCTTGATGCCAGCACTGTTTGGAGGTGTAATATTCGCACTACCAGCTCCAGCAGCGCCACCTGCTAACACACCGAGCGACTGGTTTGATGCTCCTATGGCTAGAGAAGTGTTACTCTGCATTTGCAATTGGCCAACAGCTGTAGTGGGTACACTGCTCGACTGTTGTCCGACTGCTGAGCCGCCTGGTGAAGACGATTCATTACCAGTACCAGCCCCTTGGTGTGAGTGGTGGTGCTGACGTTGGGCTGTACCAATAGTTGCAGAACTATTACTGCTGCCGTGTTGTCCATGAAAACTGCCGGACCCTGAACCAATGCGTATAGGTGTACTACTGACACCAATGTTAACATTTGTGGCAGTTGGCGTTGCTTGCGACATGTTTTTTTATATTTAATTTTTTTTTTGTTTTTTTTTTTTTGTATATCACAAAACTTTAGAATAAACGAATTTTTTTAAGATTTTTGTTAATAAGTGTTTTAAGAGTTTTAAGCTCACAGTTGTTTTTAAAAAATATTTTTCATTAAAAAAAAAAAAACTTTATTTAGCCAACAACGTGGTTATGCTAATTGTTATATTTTGTTTTGGTTTTTTCTCTTTTGTATTGATTTTACTAATAGTTTTCGCGTAGCTTACTTAACAACAAACATGCCCGTTTTTGGCCACTTGCCTTAATTTTTTTTTTCACTTTTGTTTTGTTTTCTTTTTATTTAAAGTGGAAAATATTCTACTTTTGCTTTACCGCTTAATTATGCACTTTGCTCTATGCTTCTAAAAACTTAATGTTGAGTCTTTGAACTTAGCAACTTTCATTAATTTTTTTAATTTTTTTTGTATGTAAAAAGTTATTTATTCTTTTTTATTTAGTTTATATTTAAAATTTTTTTTTTAGTAAATATTTCATATTTAAACAACTTAAAATTTATCTAATAAACTTTGAGAGAAATACACATCCACAGCCGAAGCAAGTCGAAAAAAGACTGAAAATACATCATCGAAGTGAACCCCATCAGTCCAGTAGCGAATTCCATAAAGCAAACTTTCGAGCTTTTGTCTTCACATATACGTCAACTGTTATAATGAAATTTAGGATTAAAAAGAAAATGGGTAAAGGTTACAAAAACAATTAAACGTTGACAATTGATTTGGATATTTTTTTAACGATAAATTTGTATGTTAAATATTTTTCTAAACTTTAAAAAATTATTTATTTATAAAAAATATCAAAAATTAAACCTTACTTGCTTATTATGTGTATAAATAAATACGTAATAATAAAATTATTTATTAAAAACGATAGAACTTATTTGATTTCTTGTTTATTTATTTAAATAATGTTTTATTTTAATATACTAACACCATAAAAAAAAGCCAAACAAACATTTTATTAACATAAATTATTTATATATAAAAAATCTTTGGTTAAATTGTTTTTTTGTAGGGCGAAAATTGTAGTCATAAATATTTCGCTACTGCATTATAATGACCTCATCATTCGTAATCATATTATTCATCGAAATGTCAAATCCGGCTATAAAGTCCAAAACTTGTTTAACTAGCTTCAATATATTATATTGAAGTTTTTATTTGTTATCAGTTTTCATTTTACTTTTAACATACATTTTCGTTTAGAATTTTTATGTTTTCTTTTTACCTTTATTTTGTGCTGACATTTGCAATAACAAAAATTTATGCAGAGTTGCTCTTTATTGAGTGATTGGTAGCACTAAAATATAAATTGCTTGTTTGCGTACAGTACAGCATAAAATTAAAACGTTAATTTATGCAAACAATTTTAAATAAATTATGATTAAATACATAAAAATTTGCCTATAATACTATATTTATATTTATGAATTAAATAACAATTATTTTTTCATCAAAGATTTAGAAACTTATAGAAAAACATATGAAAGTTTAAATCTCTATCTTATATTTTGGATTATAGAATAAATTGTGTATTAAAGTAGAAGTAATTTCTAATTAAGGAATACATTAAAACCTTTCTATACCTCAGAAAAAAATCTTAATTTTTTATAATTATAATGCTAATTATAATTAATATATAATACTTATATATCAATTAGTGATAGAAGACATAAAATACTTGTAGCTCCAATATAACGTTTGTAAGATTTGCTACAGTAAGACACAAAATATAACTAATCAAACAACGAATGGTGATCGGGTCTAAGTCCCGGAGTAACTCGTTTGTACAGTCTACGTCTGTGCCGCTCCTTTTCCCGTGACTGATCCAAAATTAATCCAAAGATTAACTTTTTAAGCATATATCGTATATTATAAGAAAAACATTACTGTGAAAATATGCAAACAATGAAGCATAGTCTGTACTGGCTAACATGACAATAAGTAAAATGCCCCATCTGAGTTCTTTTCGAATATATGTAAATCGAAGTCATTTGTGAAATTAATCAAAATATTTAATTTCTTGATTTATCAGTAAGTCCGCACCAATGACGTAAGCAGAATTAAGACAAGGGGAGCCGGACATTGTAGTAGAAATTATTTATTTACAGTACACTAATTTTTTCTATTATCTATTATACTGTCAAAGAGAGATACAACCCTAATCCCTCACTTCTCCAACAAGCCCTAGTTCTAGCTTATTTTTTTTCCACATAATCAACAATAAATAATTTATCAAAAATAGAAAACTTGTCTTCTGAATTTTACATTAATTGCAGACGTATTTAATTTTATTAATTAAAAAGAACTACTTTCTGATTAACTAAATATAAAAAACCAGTAATGCAATAATCACGTAGTCATTATAAGGGATTTAACAAGCCCACACTCTCGAAAGTCTTGTTATTGCTTTCGCTTTAAGAAATTGTCCACGCAAATAACGTTTCACATTCTACAATTATTAAAAATACATACATACTATATTATGTGCCGGTGATGTCATTCTAACAAAGCCTTTTACATAGTTACTAATTCATTTACTTTTTACTTTTCATTTTTAAATAATTTTTATACAGAAAGCAAAGATTGGTTAATATTTTATTTAATTTGCATGTTTTATTTGTAAAGTGCATAACATTACGGAAAATAATACCGCGCCTAATAAATGCATGATGCGTTCCCTATGCAAACTAATAATTTTTTTTTTTGTGATACAAAAATATGAAATTCTTAACATAAATTAGGAGATAAAATAATTTTGTGATTTAAAATAATGCCTGTTCTGTCTTTTGTGGGTGCATTTGTGCCTTACATAAATATTTGTGAATACTTTAATACAATAAATAAAATGCATTTCACACCTTGTGCCTGCTGCAGGGAATTTTAATTACAACTAAATGAGTTTTAAAAACTTTTAAATTAAAGACACAACGGTGAGGTGAAGGTGTTACCTAACCAGTTTTGTGGCTTCGATGTTAATCATCGAAATCGATATCTGAATCATCAGAATCATAACCACTGCGTATTGTTTTTGTAGGACGATTGATATATGTTTTCTTCTTTTGATCTGGTGGTGTCAATAAATCACCTTTGTACTCAATTGCACCTGATTGTGCTATTCTCCATTCCAGCATTTCAGTTGAAAAATCATCACAATTACCCAAATCGGTAAAGCCAACAATAAAGTCCTTAGTTTTACTATCCTTAACAAGAGCAATTGTAGGTATGACCTTAATGCGTAAACGTTGCGTTAGGAATGGAGATTTTTCAGCGTTAACCTTACAGAATTTGGCCTCAATATGTTTGGTTGCCAGTGTTTTTAAATGCATATCAACAATACGGCAGCGTTCAGTGGAGTCGCGGTAGAAATGGCAGACAATGTTTGGTGATTTCTTGGATACTTCAAAGAACTCTTTTTCATCAGCAAGTTCATTATAAATACCATGTCCCTAAATATATATATTACTAAGAGTGTCCATTATATATAATCTTACCATATACTTACATTTTTGAGCCACTCTTGCTTTTGCAGATTTTGTTGTTTCATTTCCTTTAGGCGTTGCTCACGTATTGTTTTCAGATCATCAGAGTCCAAGTTTTCCAAGCGGTCTAACTGTTGATCCAACTGTTTTTCGATGACTTGCGCAGCAGTCATCAATTGGTTTTCTAACATGTTCGACATTATTGTTACTCTAAAGCGTGCAGGTGCGTCTCAACTTTAATTTAGTTTTGTTAAAGTTTTTCTCTGCAGTTTTTTCTTTACACCCACCGGTGAGAGACAGATGAATTTTAATAAGTCCAAAAATTATATGGTATTGAAAATATATACCAAGTGGTATAAATTTTTGAAAATATATTTAATCAAATTTTTGTACTGTTCAATCCAAATTAAAAAATTACTTTAATTTAATATATAAATAAACTTTCGTTAAACCAAATTGTACAACGCACACTGAGTGAGTAAGTCAACATGGTACGTTCAGTGATGCCAGATTTTTATGTTATTTTTTTATCACATGCGACTAATAGTACGTTCAAGCTGGCATCGATTTATTATAATAAATTGAGAAAATTAATTTTTTATAAAATAAGTGCATTTTATCTAAGCATATATTAATTTATTCTAATTGCTGAAATTACCAATATACATTCTATACACACAATAATTTTAATTTTTAACATTATATTAATAAATTTTGCGTTTCTTATATATATATTATTAAAGTGACACGATTTAACGTTCCCTATATAGATTATCGTATTTGTAATGAATATAGTATAATAATTCGGCTTCAATAACAACTGCATTGAATTTATCACAATTGAAAAAGAAGCCAAATGCATATATCTTTTCAAACGAAAATGACTTTTAAAATTTAAAGCAGTTTTTCAACAGCACTAAAATTATAACCATTTATTTATTGGGGTGATGTTGTATAGAGTGTCATGGGCTCGTCAAAATTAGCTGCTTTAGGCTATCACAAAAGAACAATACTGCTCTTCTAAAATAACAACACTGATTTACCTTAATGAAGACGCACAGATAGCCGCGGCTCTCATGATCAAATATGAACTGACATATTGTTGTTTCTCTTGCGATTATTTTTTTAATTTGGATTGAAAACAAACACATTTTTGCTCATGACTAGCCCATGACGCTCTACAGAACATAGCCTTTGATGTATTGTTGTTGAGTCGTCTCGTTTTAACTATTATTTCTGCCTCTAATTTTGCAGACTAATTGCAATTTGTGTAATGAGTTACCGGGGTATGTTGAGAACCAAGCCTCACATATAACACTCTACGTGGTGAAAAAACTGTTTCAGAATAATGAATTTCACGAAAAACTGTCTTAATATCGTTAGACCTCAGATAAGTGCATGTAAGATCAGCTATGATCAGATATAACAAATTGCAATAATTTCTTAGTATATGTAATGCAACTTTTATATTCATTTATATATATATCATTTAGTTAATATAATTATTAATAATTGTTCATAATGTTTAATGTTTTTCATTATATCCTATATTATAATAGAAGTATTTAGACGGTCTAAATTACTTACAACCTACAAATTGGTGAAGTGATAACATAACAAATATCTGATAAAAAATGAAATATGAGAACATATTTTATTTATTTAATTTTTTTTTGTGTTATTCTGTAAATCCGCTATTAACATTAATTTCATATGGAATATTGATATGAAACTCAATATAAAAAAATATTTCATAAAATTTGGATATGGCTTGAAATTGATCTATCAAAACAGCTAATTTTGTTTAAAGGGCCCTTTAGACATCAACGCTCGTTGTCAACGCGCGCTTGCCATTACACAAACAATTTTTTAAAAATTTTTTAAACACGCCCCAGATAAAACAACAAATATACTAAAAAATCGCTCTCACATGAGAATTTTTTTCTCCTACTTTTCTCCTACTTTGTGAAATGCGAAATTTGTTTGTGTAATAGTAACATTTGAAATTTTAAGAAATGTGTTGACGAAAATCAAAAAATTTTGATATTTCTTCAAACACGCTCGTGTTTTTGCATATACAGTCGGATTTGGTCGGCATGCAAAATTTTATTTATTTTGAGAAATGGAAGCGTAAACATCGTTTAAATGCACGCATGATTTGTCGCTAGCATGCGATGCTTTGCAAATATGAATGAATTTTATTTTAAATATTTGTATTTTCTACCTAGGTAAAATTTTTTAATTTCCAAAACATTTTATTAAGAAGAATTAAAATATTAATAACCTTGGGTTACTAAAAATATATAAATAACCAAACATTAAATTACAAAGAATATTATATTTTAAATGTTATTTGAATTGTTTACCTGCGAAAAATTTATTATTTATAAAATTTTACAGGTAGAAATATTGACTAAAATCTCAAATGACTGGTTTATATTTTTTACTATTTAACCAAAGAAATATGAATTTTTGATTAGTATTTAAATTTAAAGGTAAACTTCAATTTTATTTTGAACTTCAAATAAAAAAAAATTATTTTTCTTAAAAAATACGCATAGGTACTTACTGTTTACACTTCAGCGATTGCTTTCATACTAATGAGTGAAAAATGTTTGTATTATTTTTTGGGGGTGTGTTTTAAAAATTGTTGGTAAATTTAATGTGTAATGGAGAGAGAAGACTTCGTGTGTTTGTCAACGCGCGTTGATGTCTAAAGGCCACTTAAGTCTTATTTTACATAAAATAAGAAATTAAGTGAGACAGTGAACTAAATAAAATCTATTTTGTTTTTGAAATTTTATTGCTATACTTCAAATTTTAAATTAAATTAATACTTTGTGCAATATTTTGTATAAGAATCAGCTAATATTTTCAAAAAAAATTATTAGATTTTATTATCTCGATAATGTTGGAATTTCACAACAACATATATATGTAGAACTTTCTTACTATAGTAATTTACTGAACAAGTCTCAACTCCTCCTATATTATATATAATCAGAGATTTATTTTGATAAATTATCATTGTTTTTGAGAAATTTATTTGTATATTTTATATAATGTCACAACAAAATAAAAAGACACCCAAAATAAAAAGGAATTTATCACAATAAACAGATCAGCCAGTTGGTGTTATATTTTTAGTTTCCAATATGTGATTTATATGCATATAGCTTTTCTACTCTAAATTTATTTGTTTACAAAATACATTTTTTTTAACTTCCCTGAAATACTTAATAATGCAACACTGTACCATGTCCTCGCTAATCGCTGTGATATGTCTCATTCGTTCGGTTGCATTGTTTAAAGTGCTGCGCGTTGTCTGTGTGTCCGCTTATTTGTTTGGTGAATTGCACAACAGTTTTTTAAACAAAAAATTATATTTTATTAAAGTGAATATAAAGTTTTAATTACAATCATACCAGGTCGGTTAATAGTTTAATTTTAATAGTATAATATATTTTCTGCTAGTTTTAAGGAATTTGCATTTATTTTGTGTTAGGGTAGGAATTGGTGTAGAGAAAAGAGCGATAAAGATAAAATTTTGCCGGGAAGCTGTAAAAATGCTTTTACATAAATTGATAAATGTGCATAAAATACTTATAAAATTATTGTTAAATAAAAAAAAAATTGGCATTTTATATATAAAATGTTTGATTTTAGAAGAGGTTTAAAATGTTTGCGCCAAAGTTAATTACATACGAAAATAGAAAAAAGTAGACTACATCAACCGCCATTTTTAAAAACGTTCGTTGGCGACTTTTCCCTATATTACAGTAGACGCTAAAAAAAAACACATTGTGTAGTCGTAATATATTTTTTATTTGTTTAATTAAATAGTTTAACATAAAATATTTGATTAGTGTATGATTTGTTAGTATTGTATGATTTTTAAATGATTATTATTTAGAATTTGATTATCTTGAGTAATTAAATTGAATTAATGTATACACTTTCCTTTTCTTTGTGTTATGTTCTTTACAGAATGTTCGCTTTTTTTTTTTTTTCTTTTACGCTGTGTTCGGTTGTAGTAGTGAAATTATTTAGTTTTAAAATTGCTGTTAGTGCTGAGTACAAAAATTATGTAAAGGGATTGGTTGTGAATTGCAGATATATGTAAATTACTTATCACAATATGATATGTATGTATGTATCGTAATTTTCACAAATTATATTTTATCTCACTGTTAGAGGAGACGCCACATTAGAGGCACATCAACTTGATTAGAAAATTGTATTTTATTTTATGAAGTATTTTAAGCGGTTTTTTTCGTAAAGATTAATTTAATACAAATATTTTTCAATAAAAGGTAATAATGAATAGTTATTATACTAAGCCGAAAATAAACTATTTGTGTTCTTTAGTTGAATAAAAAAATCTTAATTTTTCTCTTTAAATTGTGTACAAAATAAATAAAATTTTTTTTTTATGCTGTGTATGAAAAATATTTACGTGCCGATAATATGTAAAGAAAATAGAATGAAGAGGTCTTGCATTTGTTGTTGTTGTTGTTTTTGTTTCTGGTTATTGCACATAAAACTTGCTTTATTTTTGTTTAGTTTTCTCGTCTGCATTTTCTTTGTTTTTATTTTTGAATGCACACAGCTTGTGCATTGCTTTTATTTATTTTTTTTTTAAATATAAATTTTTGCTTCGCGCTAAAATATTTGGTGTGCATGCTTAGTTCTTTTCATGTTAAATTGAGGGAAATAGTAAATTATGTCGGTATGGCAGCGAATGTTGGTATTTACCAGAATTTAATAATATATAATAAATAAATTAATATTTAATAAATAAATTAATAAATTTGAAAACTTTTAATCAAAAATTATTTATTATTTTACAGTACAATAAATAAATATTAACATATGTAAATGCAGTGCAAAAAGTTTTTAGGAAATTTCAATTTTCTTTACCTCAATTTACTCCAACTCGGTTAAAGAATTTTTCATGTACAATATAAATGTTATTAATTTTATTTATATATTTCAAATAGTTATTATACCTGAAATTATTAATTAATTAATTAGTTCTATAGGTAATAAGAACATTTTTTATAGAATAATGGAAAAAATGTACTATAGGAACACATTTGCATATTACTGTAATTCTACAGTAACTCCCGATCATAAAAGAGTGTTTAATAACAATACTTAGCGCCATCTATGCAAATTTTGTAATTGATGCAGTTGTTCTTATTTTTGTTAACTTTGAGAAATGTTTATATTCAGGTTTAATTGTAAATATATTCTAAGATGTTTTTGGAACTATTTGAATTTTTGTTGTTGCTATTTGATTCTTTAGTTAATTTAAATTTTCGTGTGCATATTTGAGTGCTAAGGTTAGCATTGTCTGCATGCATGAATGGTATGAAAGGGGTTACACTTCATTTAAATCCGCCATTAACAAATCCTGAAGAGGATAAATATATCAATATATATATATGTATATTATATATTCTTGTCAATGTATTGTATAATTATTTTAAATGAAAAATTATAAATTTATATTGTTTACATATTGTTTTTATTCGAAATTTGTTTTGATTCATAGTTTTATTTTTTTCTTTGTTCTTATCTAAACTGTATTAACTATTGAAATTTCTTAGTCGAATTTGCTAAGCTGACAAACTTAAAAATAAGTAACGCTTATCTTGCGGCTTTATTATTATCACTAATTCCTACACTTTTGGATGTAAACCCGAAAATGAATTAAGTACCATATTCTAAACGTACTATATATTACCCAATGGGCCTATTTACACTATCATGAACGTGAGATGAACTTGACGACAATATGAACTGTCAGTTCAGTTTACACTATCATGAACTCTCATGAGCGTGAAATTTGTTTTGTTTTATGTAAGCGTATAAAATGCTTGTGTGTAGTAGTGCAGAGCTCAGAAATTGAGATTATTCAGTATTAAAAGCACGGTTGCCACTTGAAAATTTTTTCCTGTACCAAAATTGGTTTAAAAAGGTACCATTTCTGTAAAAAAAAGGGTCCAAAATTTTTTTGAACCTTTTTATTTTTTCGTTCTGTGTTTTTCATAGTGGTATAAATGAACAAAATATAAAATAGTGCAAAGTTGCATTTATAAAAATAATTAATTGGAAATATCCACAATAAAGTTGGGTCGTCAAAAATGTACCATTTTTTGAACATGAGTACCAAACAAAAAAAAAGTACCATAAGTGGCAACCGTGATTAAAAGGTAAACATAAACATTACATTGCATATGTATGCGTCTTAAGTTGAAGAAACGCAGCAAATTTCAATGCGTGAAATTTATGAACTCACATCACACTCTCTTCCCTCTCTCATCTATATACAACCGGTTTTCAAGTTCATGTTCAGGTTAGGTTCATGATAGTGTAAATCGGCCCAATACATGTATAAATGCTTTCTTCTTTCTCTTTCTTACACACATATTTTATACAAACACATTTTGTATTAACAAATTCAAGTGTTGTACCAAAATATATCTACCAAGACTAATTCTCAAAAAGTAATCGAACTTGCCATCATATTTACTATACCGCATTCTTAAGATTTACAATATCTTATACACTATTGAAACGTTGTATCTTAAATGCTTATTATAAACCCAATTGGTATGCGTCTATAGGTTTTCATTTTTTGTTTTAATAATAAATTCTCAAAAAATTAAACAAAATTACAATTCGGAAATAGTGTTGTTATGCTTCAATAATTTTAATATAAACAATTGACACTCCCTAGATTTGTTTGTTTGTTGTTGTTGTTAATGATTTCGTCGTCTTCCAAAAACAAAAAATTACAACAAAAAAACATTAACACCAAAAGTATCTGACGCTACCGATCAAAATTTTTAAATTGTGTACTTTGAACGTTTAGATTTGAATACTGCATTCAAAGTAGTTTTCTCTTGCTCCTCGCTTCATATAGGAAACATAATTATTCTTATATATATGTATATATATTGTGGTTGTACATATAGTGATTGTATCTCAAAACTTTTTAAAGAACATATTTATTTAAAGAACATTTTGAACTTTGTGAGTATTTTACATCAGATTGTTGCTATCTTTGCAGTAGATAGTGTTTGCGAGTATGAAAAATGTATACTTCTAAGACTTGCTGGGTGCTTACGGGTCCAGCAAAGGATTGTTCATTTAAAGACACATAACATACAGATAAAATTTTAATTAAAACAATTAAAGATTTTTAAACTAAAGAGTGTGTATTTGCTTATGTGTATAAATATACAGGGTATTTTTTTTGTTTAATATCTTAAGAGAATGATTTCTTGGTCAAAAAAACTACGAAAATGTGGTGAACCATTTTTGGACACTATGCCGTGGGGCTACTTTTGACTTCTTATGGAAGTCAATGAATGAATTTTTTTTTTCTCATTCTCATTTATCTTCAACAAATTAGTATGGAATAATGCCCAAAGCACTTTTAAACTACAGTAGCTAGAAATGTCAAAAATGAAGTTGAGAAAATGTATTTCTTCAATACTGCATACGATCTCACTGCAGTCTATAGCTACTGTATTCTGTATGTTTGTACTATGCAGTGAGAGTCGTCAGCTACTATAATGAGAGACTCTAGTTTAATCGCGTGTTGGGCATGAAGACTTTTCTTTGACGTTTTTTATATTAAATGTTAACTGCTCTTTTGAACAGTGTTGTTTAATCATATCTAATGAATGCAATGTAGTTGATTTGAATTGCATATTTTAATTTGTGGAATGCAGCTGCACTGCAATTACATTTAAAATTTTATCAATGTATCTACACTTTGAAATCTATCTTCCAGTAAAACTTTAAAGCATTATCTTAATTATTGTTATTAAATTTGCTTTTTGATATGTAATAGACAGACAGTACTGACAACTTGTACACGCCTTAATGTTTAGATTTTTCAAATATACTTTGGCCAATGTTAGATTTCCCTCCTTTTCTATGATGATACATGGGTTACTTTCACCTTAAATTATTTTGTGGCATATCGGATAAAGTCTATAAAAGACAAGTTTCTGTTTGCCCGCAAAACACAATTTTTTTTGCTGACAGTTTGTAGACACCTTGATTTACTCTTGTTATTAGTTTTTTTTTTGTATCTTTACGAATTATTTCATTGACTTGAAAATTTATTTATTTGAAAACGTGTTTATTAGCTAAAGATTGCAAACTACAAACTGCAATTGAAAGAAAATCTGTACTTTGTAGATTTCACAATGTGTGTAGGTATTTTTCAAAGTGAACTATTGAAGTGTAACAAAAAATAGAATATAATATGAGATTAGTTAATATTGAAACTTAATAGTCAGTAAAATTTATTTATACAATATTTATATACACAACATTTATATAAACAATATTTATATATACAATATTTATATATACAATACTTATACATACAATATTTATATATACAATACTTATACATACAATATTTATATATACAATATTTCTATACATAATACTTATATATAAAATATTTATATATATATAGAATATTTATATACACAATATTTCTATATACAATTAATATATACGGTATTTGTATACACATCTTTCTATCTGTAGAAATATATGTGTCAAACGATCGCAAAATATCCACATAATGTATACATATGTGACTACTTTACATTTTCCTATCCTAAATTACTACGATTCTCTCTACTGAGAGAAACTCTCAGAATCTCTCTCTACCTATATTTTTGACTTTGTAATACTTATGCTTTAAATTCCTTGTTCTTGAAAAAAGGATTTTACAGGTAGCTAAAAATGAACTCATCAAATTACCTGGGTAATAGCAAAGAGAACGATTGAATGTCTTACAATCTAAACTGTGTCACTTTTTTATTGCGTTACTAACAAAAAAATGTATCTGTGATTTTTTAATTTGAACTGAACAGATTTTTGAAATTATAGTGAAAGAAAAACCATATTTTTATTCAAGTAATATTAAATTTCATAGATACTTCTGAGTTAGATGTGAAACCAGGCTTTTACCACAATATATTCGATTCGTAGAATAATGTGTATGTAAATTTCTATAAAAGTAAATACTGCATTTTAAATATCGTGGAATAATAAATACAAACTATTATCTATTAAACATGATTAGTAATTAAAATTTATTCTATAAAGTATTATTTGCTTTTGCTCATATATCAGAAAGGTAATATAATATATATACATATGTATATGCAATAATTTTACTTGAGGTTTAACAAAATAATGTGTTAATTTGTAATTGTACTGATAAACACCAACAAATGGTTCTTCTCACTAATCTTTAATCTCTTCAAGGGCTCTTACCATGTAACTAAAACTATATATATATAAATATTCAAATGAATGTGTAGTTGTTTATATTTTACAAGCCGCTCAGTATTTTTTATGGAAGTAGTGTTATTTGTTGATAGTATTTTATTTATTTTAAGATAATTTATTGCACAATGTGAGATATCTAACACAATTTTTGTACTTTTTTATCTTACAAGTAACATTAATACCAAAATATAAAACAAAATAAAAATGTATTATACAAATAGTTTACAGTTTTTTTTTATAACAAAAAATTTGGGCTTTTTGGTGCTGTTAGCTGACACTTGTTTCTTATGTCTAATGTGGGCTTTATATCTAGTTTTTTTTATTTTCATTTCTTTAATTTCGTTGTCATTTTAATTGTTTTTCCTTTCTTTCTTTTGTTAAAACCTATGAAGATCTATATAGCGGGAAATTAGAATTAAAAAAAAGAATACATGGTTAAAGATTTAGTAGTGTAAGAATAGGAAGAGTTATTTGGAGTAAGGAATAAATAAGTGCAAAGGTATGTTTTAATTAAAACTAGCCTGGGTTAACGCTGAGAAAGCTGACCACTTAAATGGGTCGAAGACAAAAATCAATAATGCTCCATTAATATAAGCATTAAAGCATGAGTAGAGTTGGGCGACGTCATAAGGAGTAGAGCTACAGTTACGATATTGGAAATTAACGGATTTATACGTGTCAAATAACTGAATGGCGGTATCCTTATGTTATTAGAACTGCACTGATATATTCCGTAAAGATATTAGACAAAGACTGATAGACAAATACAAGGGCTGCTATATATATTTCTGGCCCAATAATGAAAATGTGAACATTTATTGTCAAAGCACTTTTTTCACTTCCACTTTTTTATATATATTTTGCCTCGTATCAGTTAAGAACGTCAGATTTTTGTTCAATTGAATATTTGTTACATGTGATATATATATATATAAATATGTAGTTTTGAAGTGAGTAAACTACACCAAAAAATATTCTTAAACTGATTTATTTCTCAAGCTGCTTTAGAGTATACGTAGTGTATTGTCTACGTTTTTCCATATTTGCAAATAAAAAAATTCTCTAATCTAATATGCCATTTTTTTGTAATAGAGTAACGTTTATAGCAATTGAATGTAGCACATTAATTATTAAGTATTCATCTTTTGCTAGTTCTTAATAATCTTATTTTTCTTTATTTCAGGTTACTAATATACTAATATGTCTACAAAGTCATTACAACCGAATCAAGGGAGGCGTACTCCATTGTCGATCGGCGCATCTGTTCCCAATAACAAACACCATCATAAACAGAATCAAGGAAACAATAAAGCTGTATCAAATTCAAATAAAACTGAATCCAAGTTAGTCGCTCAACCACAAAAATCTGAGCCGATCTCTGAAAAGAAGGAAAGCGAGCAGATCTCGCAAAAGGATACCAAAAAACAGCAAAACCATCAAAATAATAATAAAAATCATGAGGAAAAAACACAAAATGGTGTTGGTAAATCTAATAACAATGGCAATATTACCACTAAGGATAAAGCCCACAGTTCTGGCAACTCAAACCATGGTTATTTAAACGTTCGAATAAATATTGAAAAAACTGATCTAACGTCAAAACAGCAAAATGAAGAAAAGTCTGTTACAGACGAAAAGAAGGAAAATGCATCTAAAAAAGAGAAAACAGTCGAAAAGGATGTTAAAGTTGATAAAGTATTGCCAAAAGAAACAACTAAACAAAAGGAGAAAGATAGTGATAGTGAGGTAGCAAAAGCTGAAACTAAATCTACTAAAGCTGTAACAGAAGTCATTGAAAAGGAAAAGGTCGAAAAAAAGGCAACAACTGAAGATGTTGTATTACAGAAAACCGACAAAATTGTTTCAACAAACCCTACAGAGAAGGTTGCAAATGCTACTCCTGCTAAACTTGTAGAGAAAGATTCTGAAACGTCCAAGAAAATTAAAACGCCAACTAAACCGGATACTGTTACAATTATGGATATTGATTCAGAATCTATCATTGCATCAAAACCATCACCTGTAAAAGAGAGTCCAATTAAAGTAACCTGTGGTAATATCAATAAACCCGCAGCTACTTCTACTCCTGGAAAAATGTTATTTAGTAACCGTTTGGATAATGCTAGTTCACAAGCAATTAATTACTCACCTCCACGAACTTTTGGACAAATCTCTGGTAGGCGTAGTATTCGTACAATTAATAACATCCAAAATTATCGTGAAACATATCGCCGCATCAACACTGAATTGGATGAGTCAAATTGTACAGTGAATACAAGCCTTAACGTCACCGTGGGATCTGAAATACCAAACAGTTCATCGTTCTCATTCTTTGGTCGTGGACGTAAGCGTGATCGCACACCTCCGCAACATTCTCAATCAGCTATGGAAATACAAATTGATGGGGAGCTTTCGCCTCCAAAACGCGCTCGCATTGATATGTATGGTTTGTTAAGTGTTGTCTCATCTCCACTTTCATTATTGCGTTCACGTTTCTCCCGTGCATCCATACAAACTCCGGTTAAGTTGGTTTCAAAATTGGATAATGAGGAAAATGCTGAAGTACAAAATTTGTCTGGTAATCCAAATGAAGTGGAGAAACATCAAGGGAATGAAGAACCATCAGGCGAAAATAGTGAGGCACCAGTTACCGAAATCATTGATGATGAAACAAAAGAAAATGCTGCTAAAGTTGAAAATGAACCCAATATAAGTGATGCAGAAATCGTTTTAGTGTTAGACGATTCTAAAGATGATAAAAAAGATGATGCAAATGAAGAGAATCAAGACAATGAAGACCATATTGACATAAAAGAGATATCATTGGTGGATAGCGTTGGAGATCCGGTTGCTAAGAGCAAGAAATGTAATATTATGTAAAGTATTGTGGAGAATTTTCATCGTTTATAATTTTTCTTAGAGATGTCTTTTGCTTACATACATTATGTATCATTTCGTTGTAAAAATAAAAATAAAATAATACATATATATTTCTTACTTAGTGCATTAATTTAAAAGGATATATATATAAAATTATTTTATTGTTATTTATTTTTATTTTATCAAATTTCCTTTAAAGAAATCAACTTTCATTATCTGCGCTTCAATAAAATATTTATTTTTTTACGTTTTTTATTTTACGTTTGTAATTTAAATAAAAAACATAACAAAATATATTTTTTTTTTAGACTGGGTATTCAACTCAAAAAGATCTTAAAATCAATCCAACTTAGAATTAAGTTTTTGCATATTTTAATCTCATTTTAAAATAAGTTCTCTAAAGCTAAATTCATAAATAAACTTTCTTATGGCAAAATACATATATAAAAGCATCAATATATGTTTATATACGTATACAAATAATTATATATATCTAAATATATAAATTTCTTATCACAGGAAAATGTAACAAAATATTTTTAAAATAAAGGTGATTCATATAAAACGGGTTTTTAATTTTATTATTTTTCAAATTCTAAGAAATAATATATATAATGATTGGAATTATGAAGAATTCATGGTTTTAAAAATGGTTGAGCCAAAGTTCCGGAGCAACTCGTCAACGAAACGCATTGTCAATCATGTCAAAACACGGCATTACATATTGCAACCCGCTGCCATCGCGTGACGCAGCTGACCATCTTCGTGCGGAATCGAAAATACTTCTTGTAAAAAATGGACATAGATGGACATCCCAATGACGCCATGACTAGTAGAGCCCTCCCTCCGCGATACATTCGTTGTTTCCTACCTTCCTATCATAGATATATCGACACCTTTTGCAAATGGAGTCAACACCAGTGATGTCGAATATAAAAATGGACTTATAGCCCTGCACACAGATTAAGTATTCTCTTCGAGACCAAGGTTGTCACACAACAAGTTTCACAACAGTCCTTCGCATAACGTCTTCTAGGAAGAATGATGTCTCCGCGGTGCAGCAAGAATTGTTTTAGTTCAATTGAGCTCAGAATATAGCTGAGTGCTAATATTTCCTACACTCATTGAAGTGGTCAAGTTCTCCGTCTGGACTCGTATTAACGTTCAATTTGAATGTGATCGTCTTGTATATCCTCTCATGTTATCCCAGCGGGCTACAACAACAACCGCGTAACAGTCGTTGCTCTCGTCAGAGATTCAAAACGCGAATCAAGGGAATATGTTATAAAAAAATACAAGCGTAGAAGATTTAACCAACATGAATGATTCTTAACTATATCTTAGTGTCTTTTTACATTAAGTCGAATGAAAACTAAAATGTTATAAATTGATAAATTCATAAATACAGGTACAGTTAGAAATTATTGCCTGAGCCTCCTCCAATTGAATTGGGATTTGTATATGTTCTGTGACAACATATTTTCACATCTTGTTATGATAAAAGTGTGAGTATTTTTGTGGTGTAAAGCAAAATCGTGTACTCAAGGAGATTTGACTAAAAGTTGTATCTCTTTCTAAACGGACTCCTCTGAGAACATTATCCCATTGATCTAAGGCGCGTCGTACATTCTGCGATGATATATTGTCATTCTTTGTTAAGATAGTAGCGTATTAGGTAAAAAATAAGATTAAGGTTGTCATAAGAACCGAGTATCTTTAGTTTAGATATTAGCACATAATATTTACCCAGTAATTGTATACCAGATGAACTAACATGCAGTAGTGTAACCATTAACTATATTATTTCTTTAGTTATACTTATTCCAATTAGTACTAGTAAATCTGTGATAAACTCTTCTTCAAAAAACCACAAATTATACAATAAAATTAAATATTTTCAATTATTTAGTTCTAATAGGTTAACTGATAAAATAATAAACTAATACCGTAATGTAGGAACTAATAGTATTCTCAAGGAAACTAAATGGGTTAAAGTAATGTAGATAGCTCAGATTTACCTTTATGCCCAAGTCAACTTATGATAAATAGTAAATAGCACACTATTTAAGTTAACAGCTTGAAAACTCGCTTCAGCTTTTTCTTTTTGGTCGTGTGTGTATTAATTATATTAAATATTGATTGCTTTCCTTTTTATGCAAAATTTTATTTATATATTTTATGATATGTTATATAAAGTTACAAAAATCGCGTTAGAACGAAACAAATCTACTAGTGTGAACAGCATTTAAGATTTATTACAATTACAACGCTGGGTTGCATTTGAATTTCTAAAGCTAATAAATAAACAGATAAATCACCAATAAATTGTTTTTGTTCGTTTTGGTAGCGATTATGACTAGTATAACTTTAAATATGTTTAATAAATATTTAATTATTAAATGTATTTAATGAGATAAATAAACAAATCTATGTCCATGTTAGATATAATTGGATTCTGTACAGAAAGAAGCTAAACAAATATATTAATATAATTCGTTTGTTGCAATTTATATATATATTTATTAACGTTATTAGTATTATTTACATATACAATACATTATGTTATATATTGAGGTACCAGCTTAAATATTTTAGATAAATTTAATGAATTGTGATAATATTTGTTGTAATAAATCAATATCAGCTTGAAACCTTGTACTAACACCCATTTTGCACATTAAATTCCAAATGAAGTAATGTTTAATAAAATTGTAATTTTGTAAAAGGTTAATTAAATAAATTTAACATAATTACATAAAATAAAAGATACTTCAATTTTTATGTATGTATGTAAATTTTTTATATCCATTTTTCGCGCGTTATCGATGTTAGTGCACGACTTTATTTGGAAATATAATAATATTTTTATATGTGAATAAATAATATTCCAATACAATGCAAATAAAAATAATAAAATAAAGTAGAGCAAAATTAAATAAAACAATAATTGGCAGGGCATGAGTTCAACTCTTGATATTTGCAGTATCAAAAAATTATTTACGAATAATTACATAGAAGAAATACTTCCAAGACCACTGACGACGGGTATTTGGCAATAACCGAAACCGAAGTTATACGGTCAGCAAAAATTTAATTAAATAACATAATATAAAAATAAATATTATTGTTGTTGTTTACTAGTTTTTAATATATGAGATATATGAAATATGAGATATATGTGACATACAAAATATATATAAGATATATAAGATATATTTAAATTTGGAAATAAGCAATTATTTTAAAGTAAAGAATTTATATAATAATTATACTATAATTTAAATATTAAATTCAAATTAATTTGTTATTAGAATTACATAATTTTGAAGTCTGTACTTAATTAAAAAAATATAATTAAAGAAATATACGACTTGGCTTCAGCTGTTTATTTACTACATTTATTGTTAATATAAATATTATTGTTAATATTAATATTATTGTTAATATTGATACGATATGAAAGCACCACAATTTTACTTATTATTCGTAAATATTTCAACATTTTTAACTTTATCTACAATAGTGCTACCCTACAACAATATTTGAGTTACCAGCACAACATTTTGGAGTTGGCAGCATTGTTTAAGATAACGTCAAAATTCAATTGAATGTCAGTTTTTCAACGTTTGCCAAATTTTGTTTTATACTTTAACGAAAGGTCGCTAAAAATGAGAATTGTTATGCCGGAATTTATAATAAATTTGTATAGAAGAGTGTTCCAAACGTGATAGATATGTAATCTCTGTAATATAAAACTAAAAATATATAAAAAGATTATTGTAAAACGAAACAATTAAGAAAATATAATGGAGACAACAAAATCGCCAGTTCAGCAATCACCAAAAAGCCATCTAACACCAAAGAAATCGTTTATGTTCGATCGTGAAAAATTATTAGATAAAATAAATATATTAACGACAAAACCAGAGAATCAATCAAACAATACAAAGGTAAATTGTGTTCTGCAACAAAATTTGTTTTTTTCGCCAAAGTTTTAATGTGAAAGTTAATATGTTATGGCTATATTAAGTTGAATTAATTAAATAAATAGTAATTTAAAAAATAGTAATATTTGTATATATATTAATTTAAAATAATATTTTATTGAAACTATTAAATAATAATTATTGTTTTTTTTTAAAATAATTGGTAATGTGACAGCATGCGCGGGATTACTCGTTTAATCCTGTTAGAAAAACGTTGGTGATGCTGCTTTGTTAAGTTGTTGTTGTTGTGCTTGTACGGTACTAAACAATGTTTTTGTTACTCTTATGTTTCATTATGTTTTCGAGAAAAAAAACAAATAGTATTAAATATTTATATTACTAGATAATAAAATGAAAAATATTAATAATCACTTTTTATTAAATTTATAGCTACCGACTATAAAGGATTTTGTTATTATCAAGCCAATAAGTCGTGGCGCGTTTGGCAAAGTGTTTCTTGGTTACAAAAATAATGATCCAAATAAGTTGTTTGCTATCAAAGTAATGCGTAAATCTGAGATGATAAATAAAAATATGGTTTCCCAGGTGATAACCGAACGGAATGCATTGGCTTTGTCACGCAGTACATTTTGCGTCAATCTCTTTTATTCGCTGCAGTCAATATCTAATGTATATTTGGTAATGGAATACATGGTAGGCGGTGACTTAAAGTCTTTGTTAGCCATGTGTGGTTATCTTGACGAATCAGCGGTACGTTTTTATGTAGCTGAAGTGGCATTGGCATTGCAATATCTACACGGACATGGAATTGTACATCGTGATATAAAACCAGATAATATGTTGTTATCGGCTACAGGACACGTAAAACTAACAGATTTCGGCTTGAGTAAAATTGAAATGAGAAGAGGTTTGTTAGTTCACAACTTTTTCATTATGAATTATACATTATTATAGTTTGTATAATTCTTTCACTTGCAGATTTAGAGATATCAGATTTAATAAATTGTTCACCAAATTTAAATTTAAATGCACGCACACCTGGTCAATTGCTGTCACTTACTTCACACCTGTCGTTTGGTTCAGAAAAGAAATTAGAATCTGGCATATCTCATTTGCCAAATATGATCAATAAACAAAGTAAGCTTAAAAATCATATAAATATTAATACCATAAATAATGATTATTATTTATAGTTATCAGAATTGAGTCTTCAGATAGTGAAGCTGACACTTCTATAAATGAAGTAGAAAAAACTAACGAAAGTAAAATATCTGGAGTTTCTCCATTCTTTTCAGCAGAAGAATTAAATTATTCTGCTACACAGACCTGTGCTACTAATGTAAATATTCTAAATAATTTTAATACAATATTAATTTTTAATTTTAAAAATTTAACAGCAACTTTTAGATAGTTCCTCTTCATACCATACATGTCAATCAAGTGAAATTGGTAAATGTTCTCCCAACTGTAATATCGTAATCACATCTGCTTCTATCATGGAAGAACATGTGGGATTAAACAAAAATGATAATGCCACTCAAAGGAAATTGCATTGTATTGTAAGTATTAAAATTTTCTTTAAATAAAATTCAGTTATTAAAATATTTAGTAAAATCTAATAACTTAAAGGGTTGTAATTGCGAAAACAAACAAATTGAAAAAGAAAATCATAAACATTTAGCGAAGTTGGAAAGCGCTGATGAGACATCTTTTGAGTTTTCCATGTTACGAAGACGCTCTACTGAGGAGGTTTGTTTAATGTTTTATGAAATATTTGTTGTGTTAAACGTGTATTATATCTATAAATTCGTCCATTAAGTTTTCATAATTTTGCATACAAAAATGTGTTATAATAATAAATAAAACAAATATTTAATCGTTTTTTGTTTTTAAATATCTTTATTAAAATAATTAATAAAATCTACTTAATATAGCGTCTGCGTTTATCAAAAGGACAAGAAGACTCAGGTGTCTCATGCCGTAAATCGGATTGTTCAAATTCCCATGGCAATAGTGAAACTTCCTCAATTGACAAAACTGAAAACTTGTGCAATTCTAAAGATGACAGTTGTTCCGACTATTCAAGAAGGTAAGTCATAATTCCAAAGATTTTATTATAATATAGTTTTGTAATAGATTATATGGGTTGTATGAATTAATCACAACATGGTTACGATAAAATAGTATATGGCAATATAAATATATATGTATATATATTATATTTTGACACTGTGTCAACCTGTATTATCATATAATATTAAAAAACCCTTGTGTGTGGAACAAAATAAAATATAGAAAATAAATGGTTATTATTATAATTGATTGGTGTCGGTCAATATTTCTACTCTATTTTGCGGGTAGATCTCTCTGAATTCACACATAAATAAAGATGATTTTTCCCTTTATAGTGATAAAGCGTTTATTTCGTTCTTAGCGTGCGCGGTTCTGCATATCATTTTACGGTTGTTGGGTTTAGATGAACCTTTAGTTGGGTTGGTATTGAAACTGACATGGTTTATTTTATCGAGGAGTGAAAAAGAGCGAAAAAAAAGTATCTGAATCGGGCGTTTCTGTAGATCAGAGCAATTTTAACTCTTGTTTTTTATTAATGACAAGTTTACATCGGCATCGTTATGCTCGTTCACTCAAACTGGATTTCCCAGGCTGAAAATCCTGGAGATATAGTTTTCTCCTTGTACTTTTTTATGAAATTTAAAGTCTTATACAAGTTCTCTGAAAAAGAAATCCTTTATTTTCAAAGGGCAACTTGACATTTTTAGTAATACGATTAGATATACGAACCTTCCGCATTTATTTTAGTTCAGCTTAAGTTACTTATGACGGACGAGTTTTGTTCTGAATTTTCTTATTTGGATTCATAGTCATTATTTACTAACTAGGCTCACTATGAATTGAAAGAAATACCACGTATATTACTGTACCTCGGAAATAGGAATCGAGCTAGTAAAAGTGTGATTACCCCTTTTCGTCACCGGGTGTTAAGTAATTTTAAAATGTAAACGTTTCTGCTCTATATTCTCTATACATAAGTTTCTGAAGCCATTAGTTCACATCATTTTATCCACAAACACTACTAGACAATGCTAGATATTGTATTTTAAGAATATTTCAATTTTTTGATTTATTTGTGTAGTGATTTATAACAATTTATCTTTACTATAGTTACAATAACAACAATACAAATGAAATAAGTGCCATACGTATGCAATCACCATTCCGTAATTTATCTAAAAACTTTAAACGTCCCGATTATATAAGGTTCGTGTATATAAGTAAATTTTAAAATTGTTTAAATTAGTAAATAATATAATTTTTTAGGGGATTGAAGCGTAAAATAAATTTAATGAACCGTTCAGAAAATTTGTCTATTGATGCTGATGGTTCAGGGTCAGGTAATGCTAGCACTGGTTTAACACAGGAAATTGATATTTTGGATATTGGTAGTAGTACACCAAAGAAACGTAAAGCTAAATCACCAATTCGTGGTGTATTAAAAGTGCGTTCGCTATCTGATGAAGAAATGCCTGTTGTATTAACAGAAAATGTGACCAATGTTGTTTTTTCAACCCCGGTCTCATCACAAAAGGTATCACGTCGTGATGGTGGACTATTAGGAAAACTAAAAGCAACACGTTTTGCTCTGCCACTTTCGACAGACACTAAAAAGCCTGAACAAATAATTGAAAAAATGACTGGAGTGCAATATTTAAAAATGGCAGATGATCCAACAATGTCACCAATAAATTTAGGCAGCAATGCACCAAAAACACCTAAGAATATAAATACACCATTTCGAACACCAAAATCCGTACGTCGTGGTCGTAACTCAAGTGAACGCATTTTAGGTACACCCGACTACTTAGCACCGGAATTATTGTTAAGGTATTTGATGTAAATCGAATTAATGTAACAAAAACAAAAAAAATATAATTTGTATCATTGTATAGGCAAGGACATGGTCCAGCCGTAGATTGGTGGGCATTGGGTGTATGTTTTTATGAGTTCTTAACTGGTATACCGCCATTTAATGATGAAACACCACAAAAAGTTTTTGACAATATACTTAGTAAAAGTAAGGCATCTTGCATATTTGAATTTATTTGTAGTTTTAAATTAAATATATTTTATTATGATAGATATTGAATGGCCGCAAGGTGATGAGGCACTTTCACCTGCCGCAATAGAAGCTGTGGATCTGTTATTAACGATGGATCCAACTTCACGACCAGCTGCAAAAGAAGTTCAACATATGCGGTTTTTTAAAAGCATTAATTGGGATAATATCGAAAATGAAAATCCACCATTTGTGCCAACACCAGATAATCCAACAGATACAATGTATTTTGAGGCACGAAATAATTTGCAACACATCAAACTGTCAAATTTTGCAGCAGAAGACTAAAAAACATGACTTTGGAAATTTTTGATTGTGATAAGTGAACTAATTATTTCGTGTTATGTACCATTTGTTTTATGTCACTTATGTTATAACAATATTGGACTGTATTTTTATTTAGTTGTTATTATATATGTATATTGTAATACAATATGATTTTCGTCTAATAGTACGTTCTTGATTATTTTTTTATGTTTTAAATTATAATAATTTAGATTTTATAGGTTTTATTTATTAAAAATTTAGTTCATACTTTATGCGTAAATAACGACGTTCTGAATAGTTATGTCAATATTTTTAATGCCTATGTTTTTAAACATTGTATTATATATGATTATTTATGCTTACTTACTTCAAAATTCCTTATGCTATAAACCTAGTAATAAAGTTTTTTAAAAAACTCAAGTCCATTGTCTATTGCAAATTTAAACCAATAAAAAATGTTTAAAATACTATATAATACTATCTTTAAAATATTAGTTATGTTTTAAAATGTAATATTTTTTTTTCAAAGGTTGTTATTTTTAAATTTTGAAATTTTCACATAATATATTTTGTTTTCCAAAACATCTTGTTCTATGCACAAGAAAGAAATCAACGCATTAAATAATGCCTCTACAGAAGAATAGTATTGAAATTTAACAATTAAAAATAAAATTATAATTAATTAATTGAATTATTCTACAGTCGGCTTTTAATTTTCTTCTAATATATCACAGCAAGTGAATTTGTTAATGAACTTTCACTCCAAGTCAGAACATGCAAGTCAAGTACGGATTTGGATCAGTTGGCAAATGAACACTGACTCTGAGCTTCAAATTTGGCAGGGTACGAGTTCAAGCTTTAGTACTTGCAAAAATAATTCCAAGGCCACTAATGATGGGTATACGGCAATACTCAAAACGGCTGTATGGTCAGCTTAAAACTCAGTTAATTAAAATAATATAAAAATAATTTTTGTTGTAGTTCACTACTTTTCAAAATCACTCTACAAAATACACTTAAATATAAAATATATTTAAATATAAAATATGTTTAAATATAAAATATATTAAATTTATTTATTTATTCAATATAAAATTTATTATTTTAAATTTTACACAATAATTTTATTTTTAAAAATATATTCAAATATAAAATATAAAAATGTATTTTTATATAAAATATAAATATAAAATATTTATATAAATATAAAATATATTTAAATTTATTGTTTTAATGGTCAATTTTTTTATGTTTTTGAACGGGCTAATTGGGCAATTGTTTTAAGAATACACGACTTTCTAAATTATTTTTAAAGAATATATTTTTTTGTCACTAATAAATATTTCAAATATAGTCTATAGTCATCTTTAAGGTACCGAAGACTATAGTAATTGAAAGAAACTTAAAAAGTTTTATGCTTTTTAAACAATTGACCAATTAGTCCGTTCAAAAATATATAAAATGTATTTTTGTTTTGAAAACATATTTTTTTTTGAATAAATTTTTTTTTTGAATATATTTTTTTTTGAATATATATTTTCAAATATTTTTTTTATTTACGTTATATTTTTATTTTAATATATATACTTTTTTCAGAATAACTGTTATAATTTTTTTTCAAAATATATTTTTTTTCGAAATGTATTTTAATTTTTTTTTAAATATATTTTTTTCTCA